GTCAAAGTTTCTCCCCACAAGATATTTATTAATTAAAAAGGGAAAAATGATATTGGAGAAACCTGGCAGACACCAGTTTAACCAAGTGATCAAAGTTATGACATAATCCACATCTTATGCCCTGATTCAATGCACTGAGAACACAAACTCATTTTCTCACTTTAGCCAGTCCTTGCCTTTCTTAACTTCTCTCACCAGTCTTGTCTCTAGATCAGTCCAGCTATTTGCAGAGGAATGACATGATCAGATTTACATGTTAAAAATATGGCTGTGGCAGCAAAAGGAAGGTAGATTGGAAGAGAGGAGAATGGAATCTGGGATGCTGACCTAGTAGTTACCACGTGCAATGGGGCTGACCTGCTTTGTGTCCAGCCTTCCTCTACAGGGATGTACTTTATGGGCTAGTTTAAGAGACTTTCAAGTCCTTGGGTGCCTCTCTCCTCCCATGGTCTAATGTTCCCGTCTGCTCTGCATCCCCTAGACTTATTCGTTGGACCCCTAGGCTCCTCTCTTACCATTCCTCATTCCAGGGTTTCTCCATTGGCGCCCCCACCCCAGTCTCATCTTTTACCCTCATGCCCTATGTCGACCTCCCTAACCAGTCCTCTCTGTCATCCTGTTTCAGGGTCCTGACTATGACATGAGTTAGAGTCTGAATCAGGGAGTCAGCAATATGGGGCATATCTAATGCTGTCTGTGAGCAGCAGGTGGACTCTGTAGAGCTAACCTCCCCATGAGAGGCAAACAGCAGCCTGGCCTCTCTTCTCTCCCCTCCTCCATACATACCCACCTTCCCACTGTTGCCCAGGGTCTTATTCTGCCTGCCCTTACCCCCACCTCAGCTGCCTCTCAGTGAACACACTGTCATGTTCAATGTCAGACCTGTCCCCTGAGAGATGCCCAACAGTCGGGATGCCTGCCACACCCCTTCTCCTGGATCCCTCCCCTGCAGAGCCACTCAACACAGCCACCCATCTCTGAGCAGAGCAAGCCCAGCTAGGCTTCGCCTCGGCCTCCCAGCCCTTTCCTGTAAATGCACTCACAGCCAGGAGGGGTGCCATATTAAATCAAGACTGATGGAAACCAGTGGCTATGATTATCCAGGCAAGATGCAGCATGGGAAGCTGGTCGCTGCCGGCTCCAGGTGAGGGCTTCTGAAGTTAATTGCGTGTGGCTTTTATTAAGAAGATGCTCACTCCCCCACTCCTGTTCTCCTGGGTGGCTCCTTCACAGTGCCTCTCTCAGTCCAGCGCCCTCTGATTCTGCAGGCTAAGTTACCTGCCTCATTTTTTCTAGTGGAACCCCATCAAAGCAGAGCCTTGAACTTAGTCCTGTGATCTTCTTCTCCATCTCTTCAAAGAGACAGGAACAATAGTAGCCTATATTTGTGGAAGCCTTAACAAACTCCCCTCCCCAAAAATAGAATGTAGAAATCAAATATTTTACTTCTCTAGTTTCCTTCGCTGGCTACCCTTTCACAAGGCTGGGCACATTGCTCATGCCGTAAAAAGTCAGTCAGTCATTTAACACATTTTTTAGTATAAACTCTGCTAAGCATTAGGAAAAGAGCATGAAGCAGTAACATACATGGTTTAGTCCCAGTGTCTGTACATTTTTATCAAGAAGGCTGATTGATTTTCAGAAGTTTCTCTGAATTGGCATAGGTATTTAGGGCTTCAGGCCGGGGAGAACCAGAATGTGCTCAGAGATTTAGGCCACAGTTTGAACTCCTCCCGAGACCACCTAGAAAGCTCCTGAGAAACCAGCCAATTCATTGTGTAACCTTCCCCAGCCCACCCTTGTCACCTCCGTAGAAGTCAAGGACTCTTTCCCTTTGCCCAAGAAAATAACAGGAATACTAGACACCTAAAATCATGACACTGAAGAAGAGTTATAGGAAGTATATATGTTTCCATGGAGAAGACTTAGGAAAGCCACGATGTTCATACCCAAATCAACAAAGTAGAAGGAAAAGTCATGTTAGGCTCTGCCTGGGACAAAAGGAAAAGGCATGTTCTGTGAGGCCCCACAGATCAATAGATGGAAAGTACCTTATAGCAAAATTCTCTACCCCGTAAGGAAAACTGACAGCCAGAGATGAACTGCTGCAGGTAGTAGAGGCGTCTCTAGAACTTGGTTAGTGTTGAGACTGTATACTGCAGACCTAAGGTCCCTAGAGGAGGGGGTCCTAAGAGCCACTTCTGGGGCAGTGGTGGCACCCAAGTGAACTTGGCTCCTGGCTTCTGCTTGAGCCAGAGCAGCTCTTCTTTTTTAATCTATGGAGCCCTACATACAATTAAATTAGTTAAAAGGATTCCTGTACCCAAAAAACAGGCAATGGATTAGACAATCTGTTATCAAAATGCGGTAAAGAAGGGAAGTAACATTTATCAAATACCTAATAATGGCTAGGTACTATGCTAGCCATTTGAGTCACTCGGACTACCACTTATATGCATATATACATTTGCTATGTGCCAGAGACTCCGCTAAGTACTTTATATACATTGTCTCATTTAATCCTCACCAGCATCCCTCAAGGATTCTACTAGATAAGTATGAGTACTATCCCTATGTTACAATGAGGAAAGCTAAGATTCAGGGAGGTGAATGAACTCCCCAAGGGCAGTTAGCTAGGGAATAGATGAGGTGAGGTTTGAACTCAGGTCTTTCTGGAGCAAAGCTTGTTCTTTCTGCCACGCAACTTGCCTCACTAAGCCAAAGGAGGAGCCAAACTTCAGATGGAGGACAGCTGTAAGAATTAAAGGAGACACTGTGTATAAGGTGCTGAGTACAGTGCCTGGCATACAGCAGCCATTCCACAAACAGTAGTTACCTTTATCCACTCAGCAACACATATTGACTCCCCCCTGTAGTCAGGCCCTTTGCTAGGTGCTAGAAGTATAGAGGTAAATAAAACATGGTCTTTGTAACTAAGGACCTCACAGGTGAGTAAGGAGAGACAAACAGGAAGTACACCAGAAGTCCCAGGCTCCATAGACAATACCATGTTTAAGTTGAAATTTCTGGGGCACGTGGAGGTTGGTAGAAATAGAGGACTTTTGTGGTGGGGTCATAGTGTGAGCAAAGGCCCAGAGGTGGGAATATTCGGGGACTCATCACTGAGGGGAAGTGAGGAAACCTACTCAACAAACCCTTGGAAGCCAGCTTCCATCCCTTCAAGCTCCTTCCACTGCCTGCCCGACTGCAAGCTGGCACTGTCCCAGCCGGTGTGTGTGCATGTCACCATCACAGCCTTCCAGCCCAGTGGACCCGAGTGCTGAGTGAGGCTGGGTGGGCAGGGAGGAGGAAGAGGCAGATATATGGCTGGAGTCGGCAGAGCGAGGTGATGTATGTGGCGCCTGAGGGAGCTGCATAGTGATGCTCTGGATTCTAACCGGCAAGTGTCACTCCGCTGGGATCGGCGCCGAATTATTGCTCCATATGAAACCCCAGGACTGATGGGAGCTTTCAGTTACAGACTGATAGCAACAGCCAAAATTGGATTGTTTGCTATTTATTTTTTTTAACTTCTGTCAAGGTCACTACTATAACAGGAAAACACTGCCCAAGCAGCAGGTATTTTTTATCCACTCTGCCCACAAGAGCAATCTGCAACCACAACTTTTGTGACAGGGCCTTACCTTGACAGCTCTCTTTCTAGAAAGATGTCAGTGTTACAGGGGATTGGGGGAAAGGAGCCTCCTGAAGACCGGGTCTTTCCTGGATCTTTCCAAGATCTGCTTCCTTTGCCCCCAGCTCCCAATGTCCATAAATGCTCTCTATCCTCAGTCCCATGCCCTTATGCCTCCCTGTCTGTTCTCCAGACAGTCCCAGGGCTCCCTCCTGGCTCAGTTCTCCAACTTCTTGAAGCCTCCTGTTCCCCAGAAAGCCCCTGTTCCACATTTATGTGTCCTTTTCTTCTCTGTACCACCCCATCTAGCTGTTAATTCTCCTCTTCCTGTCTGTTATCAAATTCATTTTTGCAAATACTCACCAGATTCCCGTACTGTGCCAGGACCCGTGCTAGAAATAGCAGTGAGTAAAAGATAGTGTCTGCCCTCAGTGAGTTCATAATTGATTTAGAGGACAGACTCACAAACATTCAACAAACTTGTTTTCAAGTAGTTTTTTGGTTTTGTTTTTTAGTGAAAGGTACAGTGATAAAAATAAGCATTCATGCTTTGAAACCTTAAGGAAAATGGTTGATTCTGCCTGAGAAGTGTCTGTATACAGGCCCTGTCTCATCTCTTGACTTTAAGTTGCCTGAGGGCAAGGCCTGGCTCTCCTCTTTCTCAGTGACCAAGCTCAGGCCTCCTCCTGCCTTTTATGAAATGGATGAAGCCCAGGGCTGGACATGCTAGACACTCAACATTGAGTAGAAACTCCCAGCAGACAGGACACAGTCCTCCCCCTTCCCCTGCCCTACCCTTTCACCGTGGCCATGCACAAGCCTGGGCCATGCACACAGCAATTGCTGAATAATTATATTTCATTGAAATGTAGTATCATTGAAGTAGAGGGTGCTCATAGCTCTGGTTTGAAAACTGAAAAGGTCTCCAAGAAGATAAGAGGAAAGGGAAAAGAATTTATATTTATTAAGCACTTGTTCCGTACCTGGCATGGTGCTAAGCCCATTATGTAATCATCACATTTAATCTCCAATTTACAGATGAGAAAACTGAGGTGACATCTTGTAAGTGCTAAAGCTGGAATTCGGACTCGGGTCTTCTGTCAGACTCCAGAGCCAGGTTAATCTATTAGCAGTACTTACTCTAGCAGAATGAGCGAGGACCTCTGGGCAGTGGCCACCTGAAGAGAAGAGATGATGTAAGGGCCAGGACAAGGGGAGATTAGGAAGGACTAGACTAGCCTCCCGTGGTCATGAGCAGAGCTAAGTAGCAGGACCCCTGGAGGTGCAGACCTGTGTTTATTCCCCTGAGTTGAGGGATAGAATAAAACTAGGGTCCCACTGGGCCATTTGTCCTCTCTCCCCACAGTACCTGGAGAAGCAGCGGAAGCGTGAAGCCGAGGAGCGGCGCCGCTTTCCTCTGGAGCAGCGACTGAAGGAGCACATCATTGGCCAGGAGAGTGCCATCGCCACAGTAGGTGCTGGTGAGTATGGGGCACACCAGCCAGCACCAAAAAAGGCAGGGTAGCTCATGCTCTGCTGCAATGAGGTGTACATCCCATTGTCACCAAACTGGAAAGATGCAGTTAATAATATTAAAAGTTGGCCAGGCGCAGTGGCTCATGCCTGTAATCCTAGCACTCTGGGAGGCCAAGGCGGGAGGATCACTTGAGCTCAGGAGTTCAAGACCAGCCTGAGCAAGAGCGAGACCCCATCTCTACAAAACAGAAAAAATTAGCCAGGTGTGGTGGTGCACACCTGTAGTCCCAGCTACTCGGGAGGCTGTGGCAGGAGAATTGCTTGAGCCCAGGAGTTTGAGGTTACAGTAAGTTTTGATGACACCACTGCACTCTAGCTGTAGTGACAGAGCAAAACTCTCAAAAAAAAAAAAAAATACTAAAAGTTAATGTTTGTTGAGTACTATCTCTATATGCCAGGCATTGTTATAAGCTCTTAGCATGTCTTGTGTCATTTAATCCTCATAGCAGTCCTATGAGTTCGGTACCACTAAATCCCTGTTTTACAAATGGGGAAGCTGAGATACAGAGCACTTAAATAATTTGCTCACAGCTGTCTTCCTATGCTTAGAATCTAACTCTGACCTTCATCTGGCTCACTACACCCACCCCCACTTTTCAGATGGGAGAACTAAGACCCAGAGAGGAGTGGGAACTTATCCATCACTAGTAATATGGCAGCTGAGCCAGAACTGGAATTTATGTCTCTGTCTGCCATCCTGGGACTCTTTTATCACTTCAGTATAGTTTTGTCAGCAGCTGGCCTAATTTTAGAGAAAGCACCCTGAACAACTTTTGAGTGCCTCCTTCTCTACCCCTGAAGCTCTTATTCCATACTCTGGCTCCTGGGAGTCTGATATAACCCCTAATTTAATGGCCATCCTGCCCCTGCAAACCCTGCTAGACAGATATATAAAACCAGGGTTCTGCCGAGGACAGTGGCCTCACCTTTGTTCTCCAACTCTGGTATGTTACTCCTCAAGAGTGATTTCAGACAGACGAGGCAAGGGAAGAGGAACCCTAGGCCAGGCTGAGACAAAGGTGTATCCCCAAGGCAGTGGTTCTCAAAATGTGGTCTCTGGACCAGCAGCAGCAGCATCCTCTGGGAACTTCTTAGAAATCAGATCTCAGGACTCACTTCACACCTATGGAATCAGAAACTCTGGGATTTGTGTTTTAACAGGCTCTTCAGGCGATTCTGTTGCTCAGTGAAAGCTTAAAAAAACCTGAAATGTCTTGGTAAGTCCCACTTGCATGGTACTTACCTCTCTCTCTAGCTATCAAGTTCCACGAGAGGCAGTCCAGCAACTGCTAAGGATAGCACCAGGTTCTGCTCACTGAGAAAAGGAGCCATCAAGGTGAAATTGTGGCTGCCCCTCTGGGACATTCTTGGGCAGCGTTGTCAGCCCTAGGATACCAATCAAGGGAGTAATTGAAAAATGAAGGCAGCTGCCCCTGTGACACGCCAGGCCTAGCCTGATCCCCATCATCTTCACTTAGCAGTGGGGCTCACGTCCAGCTTGCAAGCCCCTCATCAGGGGCCTGACCCTATCAACAGGTAAAAGGAGCCCGTAGACCAGAGCTGCCTCACCAACTAGAGGTCAGAAGGCTGCCTGCAGGCGTACACGGGAGCCGGGGAAAACTTTTTTCAATACACAAGGCCTCACTGCCCAGGCCCAAACCACACCTGGCTGCCCTTTTGGGTCTGGACACGGACATCCATCCCCAGCCACCACCTTAGAGGTGGCAACCCCTGTTCCTTTGTCCTGTGTGTGAGGTGGAAGGAAAGGACACTCTGGGAGCTCTCATGGGTTAGGTAGCGAAGGACTAGCCCACAGAGACACAGATTACCTGGATGGAGGTTAAGGAAATGTCTCTTGCCAGAGTCTCATGTCCACCTTGGCCAGGACTGCAGCTGCCATCATAGTGTTTTCCCTCAGCTTCTCACACAGTCCTTTCCCAGCAGGCTGCCTGCTGTCCTCTGACCTCCTACTTCTTACCAGCTCCTCAAGCCTGTCAGAGGTGAAGCCCCACAGAAGTAGGGTTTGGTGGGAGGCATTGATGGAAAGAATTAGCCAACCTGGGCGCTTAGCAGCTGTGCAGCTCAGGCACTCACTTAGCTTCTTTGAGCATCAGCTTCCTCACATGTGTGATGGGGTGCCACATCCAGGACTGTCTGACTCTAAACACATGCTTTTTCCAGTAGGTGCCAGACAGCAGTGATTAAAACCTAGTCCCTGTCCTCAAGATGCTCACAGTCTTGAGTTAGGTCCTGTGCTCTTTAGGTCAAGCCCACAGCTATTTCCTTCGACCTAGAACCGATTCTTAATCCTAACCCCAGCTCACCTCTTCCCCTGGCCCTATGCCGACCTCTGATGCATCGCTCACCTAGTGTCTTCTTCTCGTTGGCACAGAGTAAGAAAGAGTACATGATTCAGCTCCCCACCTCCGAGAGCTGTCAGAATATGTACCCTGAGTGCTTCCTTCCGCCTAAAAGCTCCCGTCCTATCACCTGAACTCTGCCTCAGGTCAGAAGTAAAATGGCTGCCCAGGAAGGCCCTAATCCTGCTCTTGTGGTATGGAGGCTGGCCCTGCTGTGGCTCCAGTGACCCTAGAACAGACAGGCCATCGGGGTTGGTGAGGTTGGTGCTTTTTTACCCTTATTTATAAGGTGATAACCGCGCCTGCCTTGCGGAGAAGCCCTGAAGCTAGGGATCCCAATGATAAAGTTCACCACCATGTTGAGTCCCTGTGACCAGCTCCCAGAGGCTTCTGAACCCAAGCATGAAGGAATGAGGCAGTCTGGTGGTTGCAGCTGCCAGCCCAGGAGTGTGAAGCACTCTCTGGGTCAGAACTTAGGGTAGGCAAGCAGCACCCAGGACTTCAGGACCTCAAACTGAGCAGGTATACGCGAGTTAGGTGGATCCAGAGGCTAGGCCAGGCTTCCCTGGGTCCTGTAGGCTAGTGCCACATGTGTGCTAGGGACTGGCTGGGTGGAGCCTGGCACCCCATGGGTACCGTGAAGATGGGCAGCCAGAGAAGTGCCGCAGAATGAATTGATTTGATAAATGGCCATTTATTACCCTCACGAATTGGCTGAAACCAATTTCGGTCACATCAACCCCTGGTAAGTGCTGGGATATTGATTTGTGCAAAGTAATACAGTGAATTTATCAGTGTGATCCCCAGCTGCAGGGCCTCTAGCAAGGCTGGCGCACAGTTACCGCCTTACAAATGGAGGAGATAAAGCACCAGCCCCCACAGCAGGCCCTATGGCATCTTTAGTCTAGGGCCACTGGAGCCAAACCAGGGCCAACCTATATACCACAAACCAGAGCCTTGGCATTGAAAATGAGACTCTCCTTCCAGAATCCAAAGCTGCTCTCAGTCATGGGAAGGGGAGGGTGCCTACCCTGCAGGCAGACCTCCTGGGAGCTCAGCACCTCTTAAGCCCCACCATGCTCCTCAGAAAAGCAACCAGATGTCTATTCAGAACCAGACTCTTCTCCTCCCTAGCCTGCCCACTTCCTGTGTTCCGATCTGCATAAAGGACCACCATTCACTGGCCTCCTAAACAGAAGCTTAGATATTTTCTTGACTCCCTCCCAACCCCCTGTACAGCTCATTAAGTATCAAGTTCTATCATTCTGCCTCCTAAATGCTTCTCACACCTGGCCTTCCCCTCTGTTCCTGATGCCAAAGCCCTAGCTCAGGACATCACTGTCTCCCCACCTGAACCACAGCAGTGGTCTCCTTACCAGTCTCTTTGCCTCCTTTCCTTCCTCTAGAATCAGTTCTCTTCACTAGCTGGAGTGATCTTTGTAAAACACATATTTAACAATGTCACTTCCTGTTTAAAACCTTTGAGTGGCCCCTGCTGCCCTCCTGCACACACCAGCCACAGCAGCCCACCTCTGCCTCCCTGCACATGCTGTGTTGATTTCCTGCCTGCCCTTGTTGCTGCCACTCTCCCTGCTTGCAGTCTTTCCCTTCTGGCCCTCCCCTCCCCCCTAGCCCATCTCCCGCACGCTGGTGGTTTTTACTTCACCTAAGTCAGTTCAGGAACAATTGACTGCAGGCTCCTTGAGGGTAGGTACCATGACTTAATTGTTTTGTGTTCTCAATTCCTGGCACAGCACCCTGCTCAAAGTAGATGCTTAATGTGGTTTGTGAAATTAATGAATTTAGTATAGCCCCTGTCCATCTCTATGATATGCTCTGAGGAAAGAAGAGAAGTTGTAGCACCTGCTCTCCAGTAGCTCACAAGCATCCGGGGAATGTGACCGTAACGAAACAGTTTATTACAACCATACTAATTGACCTTTGGCCCCTTGGGTAGGCAGGCCATTCTCCAGACCTGTTCTAAGAAGCCTCCCCTAGGCAGCAGGTCAACTAGCACACACCTAACAGCTTCATTGGTTAGCTCCCTCTGACCAGGGACTTGGCCCGACACCCATCTACCTAGTCTCTGACACCCATCTACCTGGTTCCAGGCAACCCTCTGAAGCCCACATACTCCCCTGAGGAAGCTCTCCTGCTTCAACTGCTCTTCTCTGCTGGAGTCTGGCCCGTTACAGAATCGCAGCATCACCCACATGGCCACCAGGGCGCACCACACTACCTCATGCTTCACTTCCCTCTTTGACTAATCCAAAAACATAATCTTCCCAGCTCTGTACCTTTCTAGACCTCCCTTTGAGTCCTAGTTTCTGACCTCAGAAATACATCCAGGTAATGATAGTGATTAGCTTACAAAGCTACTTGCCATTCCACACCCACACCATGTCAAGTTCAGGCATCCCTGCCTCTGCTGTCTGTTCTCATTGCCTGGACTGCCCTTCCTCCTTGCCTGCTGAGACACTCAAGACCTAGGCCTTCTGCACGATGCCCTCCCTAGTCCTCCTTCTGGATTCAGGGCCCTCCAAAGGTCAGGAACTTCCCCCAGGGTGGGGCACACAGGTGTGTAA